CCTATATAGATTGTAGGTACTGTTATATGTATAAACCTTAGGTCTAGATCTGTAACAGCCCTATATAGATTGTAGGTACTGTTATATGTAAACCTTAGGTCTAGATCTGTGACAGCCCTGATATAGATTGTAGGTACTGTTATATGTATAAACCTGAGGTCTAGATCTGTGACAGCCCTATATAGATTGTAGGTACTGTTATATGTATAAACCTGAGGTCTAGATCATGTTGGGTCCTCTGTGTGGAAGACAGCCAAGATCTGACTTATTTGAGGAATGCTTTATGTTAATCAGCTAGGTTAACATTCTATACTTGGAAATAGCAGGGTCTATCTAAAACTCAAATGAAATGGTTCAAATGATAATTATATTTATAGAGCTTTGTAATAAAAGCAATACAGTATGCAGTACATGTATAAGCCCTTATCCAGGCTAGTACTAATACTACTACAGCGTATTACTATTCCAGACCCCCTCTTAAAGAAGTGTCCAAATTGTTCACTCTCATCTGTATATGCCCGTCAAATTTGACGGAAGTATTATGGTATGGGAATGTCCATCTGGCTCGGCGTAAATTTTTGTTTGTCCTGCAATCTCCTCCTACATTTTTCGACCGATCTCTTTGAAACTTGGTATACATTATAATCATGATATGAAGTTGTGTCTCCCTTAAAAGAATTTTGATTCAACAATTTTTGCAAAAGTTATTGCCCTTTATTCATTTCAGTATTTGATTTTTTGTCCGGGGATTTTCTCCTACATTTTTTATAACATGTCAGCTTACCACTCTTAGAATGATGCAGATCTTATTTCAATGTAAGAAAACTTGTATATAACACTATATGGCATATATATGCATTCGATGGGCATATATTGTTCCGCCCCGCGATACTCTTGTTGACTTTTGATATCTACTGAATTACCTTCATCTTTTAATTTCTTTTCAATCTAATTAATTTTGTTATTTTACAGTTCTATTTTATAAAATAGCTATCTATATATGGAGTCATTGTAAGTACCTGTACTTAAATATTTAGACATTTTCTCTCCTGTGAGATTGGCAGGGTTGGATATAGGTCATATTAGGTCAACTGTATGTATACATGTACACATGTTCAACAATTCATCCTGATTTGATTACAAGTGATAAAGTATTATACACTTATCACATGTGATTAATTTGGGATAATAGTTATATACATCAGTTAATTTGAAATCACAGGGTCCAGTAATTACATCAGGAAATTATTGATACATATACCGTATTGTCGCATAGCTAGACGTGTCATTTTTCCTTTGATCTAGACATGGTATAACCAACCTGTTTTAGTTATACCATATGGTACAATTGTATGTATACAACTACAGTAATTATACAGACTAATATGATATCACAGGGGCTTGTATGTGATCAAATCAGGAATGTATTTATACATGAACTGTAGTGTGTCATGTGATATCTCAGGGGCTTGGAATTAGGAATGAATTTATGCATGAACTGTAATGTGTCATGTGATATCTCAGGGGCTTGTGATCAAATCAAGAATACACTGATACATGAACTGTAATGTGTCATGTGATATCACAGGGGCTTGTGATCAAATCAGGAATACACTGATACATGAACTGTAATGTGTCATGTGATATCTCAGGAGCTTGTGATCAAATCAGGAATATACTAATACATGAACTGTAATGTGTCATGTGATATCACAGGAGCTTGTGATCAAATCCAGATGTCTTGTGACATCTTTGTCCAGATTTTGTCACAGGAGCCCGATGACTTGATTTCAGGGTATCAGGATATATGTGGTTTACAAATGATATAATGTGCATGTATAACCTCCTATCAAATTGAACAATTTCAAGTGCATAATGACAAGGATGTTTGAATTAAAAACATATATATGCCCATTAAATAAGCCCAAGTTCAAACAATCTGATTTACAGTGAATTATGCCTGTATTTATTGCTGTGATGGACAAGTGTTATACCGGTCTACTTGAATTACTTCACTATACATATTAAAAACGACTGATTTACAGTGAATCATGCCTGTACTTATTGCTGTGAGGGACAAGTGTTATACCGGTCTACTTGAATTACTTTAAATATTAAAAACGACTGGTCATTTATCGTATTACTTGGTATCTGTGCCGAATGTTGTTGTTTTCCTCTTGACCCTGATAGCAAGCCATTACCCATACATAGACCTCAAACCAGCTCAGTGTACTAAATCTTGTGTGTATATATACACTGTACATGTGAGTATCACTGTTCATGTTAACACTAAATCTTGTGTGTGTATATATATACACTGTACATGTTAACACTAAATCTTGTGTGTGTATATATACACTGTACATGTTAGTATCACTGTACATGTTTACACTAAACCTTGTGTGTATATACACTGTACATGTTAACACTAAATCTTGTGTGTATATATACACTGTACATGTAAGTATCACTGTACATGTTAACACTAAATCTTGTGTGTATATATACACTAGATGTAAGTATCACTGTACATGTTAACACTAAATCTTGTGTGTATATATACACTGTACATGTAAGTATCACTGTACATGTTAACACAACTGTCTTCTGTACATGTAACGCAGCTTGTCTTGGCAACCACGCCAACACATACATACATTTAATATACCTGTTTTGTAAATTTTTATTGAAATAACTATGCAGTGTCATTAAAAGGTCATAAATTAGAAATTTACAGCATCATTATGTTCGTTTATTTGTGTGTGCTTTACATCCTATTAACAGCTATGGTAATTTAAGGACCTGCCTGGTTTTGGTAGTGCAGGAAAGCCAGGGTAGAATCTGGAGAAAAAACCCACTGACCTTGCCTTAATTGCGACTGTCCCTGATGTAGGCCTCAAACCTGTGACCTATTTGATGGGGGGGGACACTGTAGCCCAACAGCATAATTAGCATGACCACTCCGCCACTGTAGCCCAACAGCTAATAAGCATGACCCCCCCCCCCCACCCCCCCCCCCCCCCCCCCCCCCCCGGCCACTGTAGCCCAACAGCGTAATTAACATGACCACTCGGCCACCACAACCCCACAGCATAATTAGCATGACCACTCGGCCACTGCCGTAGCCCAACAGCATAATTAGCATGACAACCAGGCCACTGCAGTAGCCCAACAGCATAATTAACATGACCACCAGGCCACTGCAGTAGCCCAACAGCATAATTAACATGACCACCAGGCCACTGCAGTAGCCCAACAGCATAATTAGCATGACAACTCGGCCACCATAACCCAATTGCAACAGCATAATTAGAATGACCCCTCGGCCACTGTAGCCCAACGGCATAATTAGCATGACCACCCGGCCACTGCAGTAGCCCAACAGCATAATTAACATGACCACCAGGCCACTGCAGTAGCCCAACAGCATAATTAGCATGACCACTCGGCCACTGCAGTAGCCCAACAGCATAATTAGCATGACCACCAGGCCACTGCAGTAGCCCAACAGCATAATTAGCATGACACTTCATTGTGTAATGTTAGAATTGTGTCACTAGAATAATAAAAATGAATTTTATGTTTATCAGATAATTGGCCTGTTAGACGTGTTCACACCCCAGACCTCCCTGGCAGACTTCGATGATGTGTAAGTATATTAGTGTTTTAACCTCAAACCTTAAGTCCCTGTAAGCTTATGCTATACCATCCATTATCTGTCAATTAACATTTTTCTTTGAACAGAAATTCTTTTTGAAAATTTGAAGACTCAGAGTGCTGATATTTGGCCAGTATGTACACCTGGGATGGGGTACTATAAACTTTTGTCATATAAATGACTTTGACTTATTTTCAAGGACACATGGTTACATATTTGAAAAATTGCAAGCAATCTTTTCTTGAGATCATGAAAAAGAGCTATGAAACTTTGGTAGACTAGAGTGAAATTATTTAAAATTTGTTGTGTTTAGATTAGGTGTAAGATTAACTATGACTACTGGCAAGGGACAAAAGTTAACATAGGTTATAATTAGTAAAAGGTAAAAAGCATAACCCTTTCACCACTGTAGACCATAATGGACTCATCCAGATCAATGCATAGTAGAGTCTACTTAAGTTACATAGGGGTGAAAGGGTTAAAGGAACTTCTTTCTTATAGCTCCATGCATGAGAACAATGGTCATGATGTTTGGCAAGTAGACATATTTGATGGTTTGCTATAAAACACGGTCATGATGTTTGGCAAGTAGACATATTTGATGGTTTGCTATAAAATATCTTCTTAAAAATCCAAAATGTATTATAGGTGTCATGTTTTGACAGACGAGGCTATATATATATAGCTAGTACCTGTGGAAGAACCATGATACTTTGATACGTTATGCAGACCCATAATGTGAAAGTCTAGAGATTTGTATCCTAATGCCTGTATAATCTGACCTATGCTTCATTGCTAAGAACTGTTAAGCTTGACGCCCTCATCAACTCACCAAGCTCGTGTAATTTATATTATTGTACATGATTGACGATATGTAAATAAATGGTTAATAATATGTAACAGACTGGGACATAGCTGTATGTGTAAATTGTATACTGAGCTACAGGTAAGTTCAGGTTAGTATATAGCTATACACAGTAATGTCATGTGTGCAGTAGACCATTGATGAGCTAGCTATCTCAGTACCAGATAAACCTGCTGTTAACGGTGACACCTTTGTGATAAAAAGCATAATCTCCATTTCACCATCATATACCTGTGAACATTTATAATAATGCTAGTGCACATGTATACATTGTACTAGAATGACAACATGTACATCAAATTTATACAATGTACCATAATTACAACATATACATTGCACATGTTTACATTGTACTAGAATGACTAACAACTTGTACATCAAATTTATACAATGTACCATAATTACTACCTATACATTGCACATGCATACATTGTACTAGAATCACAACTTGTACATCAACTTTATACAATGTACCATGATTACAACATATACATAGCACATGTTTACATTGTACTAGAATCACAACTTGTACATCAAATTTATACAATGTACCATGATTACAACATATACATCGCACATGTATACATTGAACTAGAATGACAACTTGTACATCAAATTTATACAATGTACCATAATTACAACATGTACAATATGCTATGTATATATAAATATTCAAGATGTATGCATGCATATATATATTTCCAATTACAGATGAAGAAAAAAACAACCCTAGTCATTTCAGTATTCTGAAGCCTCATTTATTATGTATTACAGCCAAGGGAAGTCTGGCCTACAGACCTGTATGTGAGCAGCTGTATAGTAACCTCAGGTAGCTGTGTTATTGTAAACAACTGTTTATTGACCTTCTGTTTATTACAGCTACCTGGTCACTCACCTGATGGGTGCTGACCTTAACAACATAATCAAGACACAGAAGCTTAGTGATGATCACGTCCAGTTCCTCGTCTATCAGATCCTGCGTGGACTCAAGGTAACAAAGTTAGGACTTTGAATTAAACTTATAATGAAATTTGATCCATAAACAAAATCACTACTTGGAAATTGAGGTAAAATTTCACTATATTAATTTTTTGAGCTGTCTGGCAAATTTCCAAATGACATTCGAGCAAAGACTAAAAAACAGAGATCTGTACATAGAGCTCTCTTGTCCAATTTCAAGATTTGTAAAATGCATACCTGCCGATATTTCACACTTGAGCCCTATTTGACAAAATAAGTGTGTTTAACAGTTAAACTCTTCAGTGTTGCAAATGTGATTTGTAAAACCAGCTCTTTGAAGCATGTCTAGATGTAATGTGTTTTTATAAAATGTTCTTCACATTCATGCTGATAAGAGCGTATCAGGTGTAAAAACAGTAACGTTGCTCTGTGTATTGAATTAAAGGAGTATTGAGTATAATACAAGACAGAGAATTCTACTGAAATCAACAAATCATAAAATAATACTTCTCGCTCCAAAGTAGAGACAGACTTGGGGGAAATAATTGGGGGGGGGGGGGGGGGGGAAAGTTTATAATCAATTGCTACTTAAAGATCCCCATATAGCCATGCCACCAAATGTAACTATGCCGTATAAACATTTTGACTACTAGTGTATCTTCAATGAATAATTCCAGAACAGAAAAACATACCTTGCAAAACTTTCATGAATACATTATAATGATAAGATAAACATTAATATCAGCAGCAGAGTTCTGATCATGAGTATAAAGATGTTCAGTGCCCAGATCTAGACCAGGGCTCATATTCATGAAACCAATCTCATGCTTAAGCATTTTTTGTGTGCTCAAACCAACTTTCTTGTAACTCACTTAAAAAGTGTCAAATGATAAAAAAGTCAAATGTAAACAATGAAAACAGTATTTGGCTTTTAATCTTTTCATTTTTTAGCTCATTGGGCCCGAAGGGCCAAGTGAGCTTATCCCATGCAGCAGCGTCCGTCGTCCGTCAACTTTTTCCTTTAAAACGCTACTAGTCTTGAACGGCTCAGAGGATTTTGACCAAATTTGGTCTGGAGCATCATTGGCCAAAGGGTTATCAGTTTGTATGAATGGAGGGTATGGTCCCCCTGGGGGCAGAGGGGCGGGGCCAAATAGGGGGAAAATAGGTAAATCTTTAAAAATCTTCTCCTCAACCAATTGAAGGATTTTTTTCTCCTACTATACAAGTGAAGGGATTTAAACCAAATGCAGTCTGAAGCATGCTTAGGGAGAAAAGAATCAATTTTGTTTAAACTGAGGTGTGTGGATTCCCCTTCTTTGGGGCAGATTAGTGGGGCCCATTAGGGGAAATAGAGGAAAACATTAAAGATCCTTCTCCTTCTGTACCGTTGAAGGGATTTTAACCTAACCAAACTTGTTTTAGAGAATCTTTGGGCAAAGGGAATTGAATATTTATAAATGGAAGATGCAACTTTGTTACTTGTACTCCTTTGATAAACCTGAATGGTACTCAGCAGGTTTTAAATTGAAAAATAAAATACCAGGTGAGCTATTAAGGCCCCTGGGCCTCTTGTTTTCTCTCCAAATAATGGTCGAAAACAGATTTCATTATGATTTATAAACGGAACAAGAAATGAGTCTTGAGCACAAAATCCATGCTTGAGCATGAGAACGGTTTCATGAATACAGGCCCAAAATTAGAACCCTGGACCCCTGGACTACAATCATTATGTACTGTTGCTCTGACCAATCGAGCTACCTTGTCAACCGTAGTACTCCTGACCTAATTACACTGCAGTTATAGCCAGAGCAAAATCCAGGGGAGGTTACTGTAGGTATGAAAACCACAGTGGATTTCTCTTGTGATTTTCCTGCAGTGGGGGTCCTTAAAGGTGTAATTTTCAGTCAGTATATATTAATATTAAATCATCTTTTATATAAAATGTACCGACATATTGATGCGTAATCTTAAGTCAGTATATATTAATATTAAATTATCTTTTATATAAAATGTACCGACATATTGATGAGTAATCTTAAGTCAGTATATATTAATATTAAATTTTCTTTTATATAAAATGTCCCAACATATTTATGCGTAATCTTAAGTCAGTATATATTAATATTAAATTATCTTTTATATAAAATGTACCGACATATTGATGAGCTTAAAGGTGTAATCTTCAGTCAGTATATATTAATTTTTTAAATAATCCTTTATATAAAATATACCGACATGTTGATTAACTATTTTAAAGTTGTCATGTGAACTTAACTTGACTCAGTACAGGCATTTCGTACAACTTTTGACAGTGTATAGTGTAGATTTACATCAGATAACAGACCTGGAAATCAATTCTCATACATGTTTATTGTAATTTCAGTATATACATTCAGCTGGGATCATTCATAGGGTAAGTGATCAAAGCAGAGAATGTCAAATAAAATGCTCAACTCTGACATTGTTTTACATCTATTGTTATTGATTTATTCAAATGGATCAATAATAAAGACAATTTATTCACCGATACAAAAATCCCATATACATTTGTGTATTACTTGAGATCATTTCTGATAAATGTATCTCCCCTTCTGTTTCCACACATATTCAAAATTGAACCTAAGTAGGAGCTTATGTTTGGAAACTTTTTTCTGTAAACTATCCATGATGTGAAATGTTTGTGTTGTGATATTGCTGCAGTACATATTGTATCATGTAAATTATGTGTTTTGTCTGCGATTAAAATTCTAAGATTATGAATCAGTTTGCACTATTTGATAAGCCAAGTCCTCCTGAGTTTGTTCGGACCTGATTCAATGTATTATGTGTTGATGACATCACTTAATTTATCTTCAGGATCTCAAACCTAGCAATATTGCTGTCAATGAAGACTGTGAGCTTAAAGTAAGTACGAGTTTTAGAAGAAAACAGATACTTTACAGAAGAATCGCAGGAATTATCACCAGAATGATCTCCTTTTATGAAGGACTAGGAACACTTTCGTTTATCACGATCCAAATGGTTTGAACATGCCCCAGGTCTTGAGGGATCAACGGACTAAGCTCTTTTATCACGTATATGGATAGTATGTTGGTAGCAAATGTGTAAAACTGATGGATATTGTTTGAAATAAGTGAGCATTACATTCTAGCGAAATTGCTAATATAAACTAGTTAGTATAAAGGTGTCACAAAGACAAATTACCTTCAGTACCACAATCATGTAATCTTACGGATGAAATATATATATAAACCAGAACAAGGAATAAAATTCAGAATCTCATTATCCTCATGTGTAATTGTGTTGTATTTCAGATTTTGGATTTTGGTCTGGCCCGTCACACAGAGTCCGAGATGACCGGTTACGTTGCCACTCGCTGGTACAGGGCACCCGAAATCGTCCTCAACTGGATGCACTATACCCAGACAGGTAAGGGGATATAACTGAGCAGATGAAGTAGTAACTGACAGTAAAATAGGGAACTCATAGTAAATAGTTTGCCTGTGATGGATATATTGTAACTATCTCCCCTAACCTAACTAATTGTAATTACCTCCCTTTCCTGTGATGAATATTTTATAATTATTTTCCCTTAACCAGCCACTTAATAGTATCACAGAAGTTTACTGTTATAATTTAGAATTCAAAGTTTATCACTGTTGTAATTTAGAATTCAAAGTTTATGTATATCATGACAGGAGTGTAACAAATTGTTTACACTTTAAAGTCATCAGGGAACTTTTGTTTATGACAAACTTATAAAAGTCACTGACGCTATAGCCACTAGCTTATGCTGTATACATTAGTCTAATACCCATTGTGAAATAGTGACAGCCTTGTGTTTTGATTTTTCAAGAATCAAGCCACTGAAATTGATGAGCACTTAAATTTAGATTTTTTTAAAACTTTTGATGTCTTGCTGAAGCCACTGGCAGTATCTGCTACTACCAGTGTCCTAAATGACATTGCTCATATAGATATGTTAGACTAATAATCAGATAATACATCATTGATCCACTTTGCTAATAAGTACAAGTTTTATATTCATTGAAATTTATTGACATTATCCTTTTAATAATTAACTTATTCAATCATATACATGTCAACAAATCAAGACAAACATAATCCCACATTAACATGAAATAATGTGGAACTGTTTGATTTCAGTGGATATCTGGTCAGTGGGCTGTATTATGGCTGAGATGTTGACCGGTAGGGCGCTCTTCCCAGGAACAGATCGTATCCTTTCTTACCTTACCGTACCTCAAATTTCAGCCCTGTTTGTCTGTAGGATGTGTTAGTTTCTTTTTAGGGTTTCACAAGGAATGTCTTTTCATATTTTTTTATATTTTTTTAAATCATAGGTTCTGCAATAATGCCGCTGTGTGTGTAAGTGTCGAGATCAGTGAAGATATCACGCTCCAAGGTTTTCTGAAATACCAGTTCACTAAGGAACTTTCACTTTAAAGATAATAATCTTATTAATAGTATGTCAAGGCTAATACATAGGTTATAATCCAACGTTATTCCCATGTCCAGATGTCACTATCTCCCTAACCCAGACACAAAATAATATTACAGAATTTTACTGTTAAAATTTAAACTTATAAATATAATTGTTTGTTCCAAGTCGGAAAGTCATCAGAATGAGTTTGTTTATGACAAACAAATATATCTTGAAATGAACAGTATTGAAAAGTTTCTCTGTTTGATTATTTTAATTTCCTGGCCTAGTTTCATGAACATAAATACCCTTTAAAAACATTGCTGAAGTATAACAAAACCCTTAAAATTTCTTAACTACAACAGTGCTTTCCAAAGGGAAAACTAAATTTAAGTAATTGCCTGCAAATGTGATTTCAGTTAATTTGATTAATATACCATGCTGAGGTATGGATTAACCATTTGATCTGAATGCTTTTAAGTGTAGTATGACACAGCTGTGTATTAACTGGTATAGGAGTGCTGATGATAATAGGTAAATTGACTTCGGTGTAGGTGATCCCTTGTGTTGTTGGTTGTCTCCAAATACTGAGTGGTCTAATTAAACAGGGTGTGATCTATGTGATCTGTGTCTGATATCAACCTTGACCCTGGTACACAGACATAGACCAGCTTAGCCGCGTGTTGTCACTTACTGGTACCCCAGACGAAAACCTACTTAAAAAAATTAGCAGTAGAGAGGTAAGTTATGATCAGTACATATTACCCACCTGTCATGTAGGATGTCTTTGGCCTCGGGAGTTCAGATGATTCCCGATGTTGGACATTTTTATTGGAACAGTTCAGATATATATATATGTTTTTGATTATTAGTTTGTTTGTGACATTTCTTTTGCTGATTTAGTAAATGTATACTTTTACATTACATGTAGATTTATTTTACATGTAAAGAGATAAACATGAACAATTCTTTAATGTAAAAGTGTTAATGATACCCTGCTAGTATTACTGTAGGGGACTATAGGTCTGTACTCAGTCCTCCACTGATATTCCTGGCGGGGACCATAGGTCTGTACTCAGTCCCCCCCTGGTATTACTGTAGGGACTATAGGTCTGTACTCATTCCTCCACTGATATTACTGTAGGGACTATATTACTGTAGGGACTATAGGTCTGTACTCAGTCCTCCACTAATATTACTGTAGGGGACCATAGGTCTGTACTAAGTCCTCCACTGGTATTACTGTAGGGGACTATAGGTATGTACTCAGTCCTCCACTGATATTACTGTAGGGGACTAGAGGTCTGTACTCAGTCCTCCACTGACATTACTAGAGAGGACTATAGGTCTGGACTCAGTCCTCCACTGGTATTACTAGAGAGGCCTATAGGTCTGTACTCTGTCCTCCACTGTTATTACTGTAGGGGACTATAGGTCTGTACTCAGTCCTCCACTAATATTACTGTAGGGGACCATAGGTCTGTACTAAGTCCTCCACTGGTATTACTGTAGGGGACTATAGGTCTGTGCTCAGTCCTCCACTGATATTACTGTAGGGGACTAGAGGTCTGTACTCAGTCCTCCACTGACATTACTAGAGAGGACTATAGGTCTGTACTCAGTCCTCCACTGGTATTACTAGAGAGGCCTATAGGTCTGTACTCTGTCCTCCACTGGTATTACTGTAGGGGACTATAGGTCTGTACTCAGTCCTCCACGGGTGTTACTGGAGGGGACTATAGATCTGTACTCAGTCCTCCACTGGTGTTACTGTGGGGACTATAGGTCTGTACTCAGTCCTTCACTGGCATTACTAGAGAGGACGATAGGTCTGTATTCAGTCCTCCACTGGTGTTACTGGAGGGACTATAGGTCTGTACTCAGTCCTTCACTAGCATTACTAGAGAGGACGATAGGTCTGTATTCAATCCTCCACTGGTATTACTGGAGGTACTATAGGTCTGTACTCAGTCCTCCTCTGATATTACTGTAGGGGACCATAGGTCTGTACTCAGTCCGCCACTGGTATTACTGTAGGGGACTATAGGTCTGTATTCAGTCCTCGACTGGTATAACTGTAGGGACTATAGGTCTGTACTCAGTCCTCCCCTGGTGTTACTGTAGGGACTATAGGCCTGTACTCAGTCCTCCACTGGTGTTCCTGGAGGGGACTATAGATCTGTACTCAGCCCTCCACTGGCATTACTAGAGAGGACTATAGGTCTGTATTCAGTCATCCACTGGTATAACTGTAGGGACTATAGGTCTGTACTCAGTCCTCCACTGGTGTTACTGGAGGGGACTATAGATCTGTACTCAGTCCTCCACTGGCATTACTAGAGAGGACTATAGGTCTGTATTCAGTCCTCCACTGGTATAACTGTAGGGACTATAGGTCTGTACTCAGTCCTCCACTGGTGTTACTGGAGGGGACTATAGGTCTGTACTCAGTCCTTCACTGGCATTACTAGAGAGGACGATAGGTCTGTATTCAGTCCTCCACTGGTATTACTGGAGGGACTATAGGTCTGTTCTCAGTCCTCCACTGGTATAACTGGAGGGACTATAGGTCTGTACTCAGTCCTCCACTGATATTACTGTAGGGACTATAGGTCTGTATTCAGTCCTCCACTGGTAGTACTGGAGGGACTATAGGTCTGTACTCAGTCCTCCACTGACATTACTGTAGGGACTATAGGTCTGTACTCAGTCCTCCACTGGTGTTACTGTAGGGACTATAGGTCTGTACTCAGTCCTCCACTGGTGTTACTGTAGGGAATATAGGTCTGTACTCAGTCCTCCACTGGTACCGCTGTAGGGACTATAGGTCTGTACTCAGTCCTCCACTGGTATTACTGGAGGGACTATAGATCTGTACTCAGTCCTCCACTGGTGTTACTGGAGGGACTATAGGTCTGTACTCAGTCCTCCACTGGTATTACTGTAGGGACTATAGGTCTGTACTCAGTCCTCCACTGGTGTTACTGGAGGGACTATAGGTCTGTACTCAGTCCTCCACTGGTAGTACTGGAGGGACTATAGGTCTGTACTCAGTCCTCCACTGGTGTTACTGGAGGGACTATAGGTCTGTACTCAGTCCTCCACTGGTAGTACTGGAGGGACTATAGGTCTGTACTCAGTCCTCCACTGGTATTACTGTAGGGACTATAGGTCTGTACTCAGTCCTCCACTGGTGTTACTGGAGGGACTATAGGTCTGTACTCAGTCCTCCACTGGTAGTACTGGAGGGACTATAGGTCTGTACTCAGTCCTCCACTGGTGTCACTGGAGGGACTATAGGTCTGTACTCAGTCCTCCACTGGTAGTACTGGAGGGACTATAGGTCTGTACTCGGTCCTCCACTGGTGTTACTGGAGGGACTATAGGTCTGTATTCAGTCCTCCACTGGTATAACTGGAGGGACTATAGGTCTGTACTCAGTCCTCCACTGGTATTACTGGAGGGGACTATAGGTCTGTACTCAGTCCTCCACTGGTGTTACTGGAGGGACTATAGGTCTGTACTCAGTCCTCCACTGGTGTCACTGTAGGTTCGTACTCTTTCGCTTCCTCTACTGTATATGATGTTATTGCCCTCTGGGGTGTATCCTTTGTCTAGGGCATACTTCATACAGTCTTTCATTTATTTACCATATTGTTTATGTGTAGATCTTGGGATTGTGTATTGTCACAAAGTAAATCGGGTCTTGTGGCCCTCTATACACAGAGTTATGTCCCTTTGAACTCTATACACAGAGTTATAGCCCTTTATACATTTTTAGCCCACCATCATTTGATGGTGGGCTATTCAAATCACCCTGCGTCCGTGGTACGTCCGTCGTCTGTCGTATGTCGTCCGTCGTCCGTCCATAAACAATTCTTGTTATTGCTATTTCTCAAGAAGTACCAGAGGGATCTTTCTCCAATTTTATATGCAGGTTCCCCTTGATCCTTATCTGTGCAGGGCAACTTTTGAGACTGATTGGATAAACAACATGGCCGACAGGCAGCCATCTTGGAGTTTGATAGTGAAAGTTTGTTATCGCTATTTCTCAAGAAGTACCAGAGGGATCTTTCTCCAATTTTATATGCAGGTTCCCCTTGATCCTTATCTGTGCAGGGCAACTTTTGAGACTGATTGGATAAACAACATGGCCGACAGGCAGCCATCTTGGATTTTGATAGTGAAAGTTTGTTATCGCTATTTCTCAAGAAGTACCAGAGGGATCTTTCTCAAATTTTATATGTAGGTTCCCCTTGGTCCTTAGCTGTGCAGGGCAACTTTTGAGACTGATCGGATAAACAACATGGCCGACAGGCAGCCATCTTGGATTTTGATATTGAAAGTTTGTTATCGCTATTTTCCAAAAATTACAGGAGGGATCTTTCTCAAATTTGAGGTATAGGTTCCCCTTGGTCCTTAGCTGTGCAGGGCAATTTTTGAGACTGATCGGATAAACAACATGGCCGACAGGCAGCCATCTTGGATTTTGATAGTGTAGGTTTGTTACCGCTATTTCTCCGGAAGAACTAGAGGGATCTTTCTTAAATTTTATATGTAGGTTCCCCTTGGTCCTAGCTGTGCAGGGCAATTTTAGAGACTGATCGGATAAACAACATGGCCGACAGGCAGCCATCTTGGATTTTGATAGTGAAAGTTTGTTATCGCTATTTCTTGGGAAGTACGGGAGGGATCTTTCTCAAATTTTAAATGTAGGTTCCCCTTGATCCCTCGTTGTGTATGTTATATTTTGAGACTGATCATAAAAACAAAATGGATTAAAAGAAGAACTAAACAGATCTTTCTCATATTGCAATTATTGATTCTATTTCTTTCACATTAAGTACTGTACTAGTAAATATGTGAAATGACAAACACACTTTGAAGGTTAACTTTCATACACATCAGTATTAAGTTTAGATCAAAAGTTACCTCAAGGTGCATTTACTGTTAACATGACTTGATCAAACAGATATGAGGGAAGAAGAGAAAAGATCGAACTGACAAAGAACTAATGAAGATGGTACAAAGGTGTGCGCCAAGATCCCTCTGGGATCTCGTCTTTTTTATTAACAAAGTTTGTGTGAAGGTAGAAGACTATGAATTGCTTACAATACCTTACCTTCATGTTTGTTAATTTTTTTCTAAAGACTCTTCCATGCCCAGAGTTGTAGGAGAGGGAAATTCCACCCTCAGGATTTTCAATTGAAAATCCCGAGGGTGGAATTTCCCTCTCCTACAACCCTGGGCATGAAAGAGTATTTTTCTCTCATTCCAACTACCAGAATAAGCTCAAAACCCATGAAAGTGCTTTTGGACTGGCAACCATTTTGAAAATATCAATTTTTCCCCTGAGCTTTTTGAACAAAAACGAATTGTCAGCGATGTTTTAGCGTATCCCATATTTGCAAACAACATCTGTACAGAAAAAATAATCTCATCTTTCTAATGTGTACAGTAAGTATATCGTAAAAGGTTTTAATTTCATCACATTGCCTTTTCTGCATTGCCGCATAGGTGTTTTCCAAATTGGAGACATCAAGTGATTGTGGAGCCATTGTGACTGTACGCCCGTGTAAGATAGACTCAGCGAGCATGATTATCTTACATGGCCAGCATTATCTTGATTGGATATGAGAGAAAAAGGAAATCAGATATATATGAATTCCTTTTTAGGTCACCTGAGACAAAGTCTCAAGTGACCTATTGCGATCGCCTTTTGTCGGGCGGTGTCCGTCGTCCGTCATGCGTCCGTAAACAATTTACATTTTCGACTTCTTCTCTAAAACCCCTGAACCAATTTCAATGAAATTTTGCAGGAACCTTCCATGGACAAAGGTCAACAAAAATAGTGGCCTGTTTAGTCCCAAGACCCCAGGGGCCTGAGGGGCGGGGCCAAAAAGGGTCAAATTGACTAAAATTTCAAAAATCTTCTTCTTTGGGGCCAAAAAGGGTTGAATTGAATAAAAATTTCTAAAATCTTCTTCTCAAAGACCCAGATATGGTAGAATCAAACACTCTTCATAGATGGAAGGGTCTTAAGGTTTATGACCCTGGGGTCTCACGTTTACCCCCTGGGGAAGGAGGGGGGGGGGCAAACTTTATTATGGTTTATAATGGCAATTGATTTTGATAGTGAAAGTTTTTTATCGCTATTGGGGAAGAACGAGAGGGATCTTTCTCAAATTTTATATGTAGGTTCCCCTTGGTCCTAAGCTGTGCAGTGCAACTTTTGAGACTGATCGGATAAACAACATGGC